CTGAAGTTGCCCATTGCAAAGTCATCATTTTTGAGCAGTTTAAAAAAAAAAGCATTAAATTATAGAGTGGAAGTGCTTAAACACAGCTTTATTGGAGGGAATTTTCATGACAGTTTTGGTCTTTTATCAAGAGCTGGCAGACAGAGATTTAGCATGTTTTTATGATCCTGGCATGAAGTGGATTGTGGCTGATGTGACCATTTAAGGCCTGATCTAAACACTAACAAACTCGGCTGTTTACTGACACTCAGACATTTACATCTAGTCCTGCAAGAGTGGTCCCAGCAGCACTGGTTTGTTTTGGTGACCTAAACACCCAGAGCCAGCCAAGTGTCATTACTCTGGATGTAGGGAAACATTTTATTGCAGGACTGGCAGCAGCACCTACTCCACCCTCTTTGCTCAGAGTACAGGGCATAGCCAGGGCAAAAGGAGGTAGAAAACTGTTTGCAGGCACGTGTCACTAGGAGCGCACCCAGATCTTGTTTTCTCAGCCCAAACCCAACACAAAGCTCTATAACATATAGGCAGGACACTGACTTGCAAAGCAAGATCTGAGGTCTGTTCCTGGTCCATCACCTACCCTATGACCTAGGTCAAATTATCTGTTCTCCCTCTGCCTCAAAAGATTTCTTATCTATTTCAAGCTCGAGGACAGGGAAGGAAGGATCCAGCTCATGGTTTATTCATATGACCCAGAGGTCCAGGGTTCCTCCCACACTGTGACCAACATCAGTGAGATGTATTAGTGCTGCTTTCTAGATTTGTCTGCAAAGCCCAACATCATTAAGAAAGTGATACCCACCTCCTGCTCTAGGTGATAAACTCCCCAGGTAATGAATACTTCCCTCAATATGTGCCACTCCCTGTGCATCACAGAGCTCTGATATTCACTTGGCTTTCTGAGGACTATTGTGAAGAGCAAGAACAGCCCCAGAACTCCTTTGATTTGTTCTAGAAACTAAACTGCCTCATCTGCTACCACCTCTTCTGTGATCAGTCCGACTTAAGGACATCATAACCCAGAGGGTAGAGACACTTTTATTCAACAATAAAAACCAACCAACCAACCAACAAAAAAACCCCAACTCTTCTGCCTTTACTTTTTCCGATCTGTTCATGTTTTTCTGTCACTATTCTTAAGCAACTGTTCCTTGTCTGGGGTAGTTCTAAGATCCAGGCTACAAAAAGCATCCTCCCTGAATAGGCTTTATTCCCTCAAAGCAAACAGTCATGATCTGGGCACCAGCAAAGGCCCTCGTTCCCCTAACTATGAAACCCTACGGCTGATCCCTTGGAGAAAGCTCCAAAGGGGAAGAAGACTTTCACTCCAGACAAGCAGAGACCAGGGCAGACAGCTGGCCAAGGAGAAAGATACTTAAAATATTCTGTAGTATGCAAGGGAATTAACTCCTTAGTGCTGACTGGCAATACTTAGAGGGTAGCAGGAGGCTGGTTTGCAATGCCAGGCTCCTATCCCTCCTTCCATGCTCTGGTGATGAGACAGCAATCTGGTTTTTTTAGTCAACACAGTTGAGATGTTTCTGCTTTGCTGTCCCCACTCCAGAGCAGAGTCAGAGTCAGCTGCTCTGGGATGAGGAAATTGCCCATACTTTCACCCTACAGCTGGAGAAGGAAGTAGTAACAGCTTCAGCTAGTGGCATTCCTAACAGGACTGCTCCACTGCAGTTTGGAAACATAGCCTGAAGTCAGCTAAATAAGTTAGAACAAGCTTTAAAGGCTCTAATCAGTACATCACTGTATCAGGTGTGGACCTGAGGCTCTCCAAAAGGAGCAGACTCCCACTGCTCTTCCAGCACCACCAGCTTCTAGTGAGGTTCTGTGAACTACTCCCAGCATCACAGTATATAGCCATGGATCACAGGAATTAATTCATGGAAGTCATGTTCTTGGAAGCACATACTCAAAACAAGCTTTGGCATTTCCCCTACTCCACCATTCAGAGTTTCCTTCCATATGTTAAACATAGGCAGAACTCCCAGTTAGAGATCTCAATTTTAATGGAAACCTCCAAGTTTGTTTTCCAAATCAGAGAAGTTTCCTGTTTCAACAATTAAGTTAACATCTCAGGAGAATGTCTGCTGGAGTCAAAAAATCATCCTACTTCAATAAAATTGAAAAGACTTCCTCAAACAATGTTTTGAAGCTTGATAATGCTGTAACTCAACACATTTCCAGTGAAATATTCTGAAAGGAAATCCTTCATCTTCCTTCGTGTTTATATGACAGAGCTACACCAATGCCAGCATTTTACCATAAGAGTTTTGGATTTGTTTGTTAGGACTAGAACCAGCTAAAGGTTCACTCACATAAGCAGTTCCCACTCAGCAAACTGTTGGCACTATGTAACAGCTCCTGTAACTGATGCTGTTCCATGTGGAACCAGGGAATCTGTGGTAAAATATATTTGCCAGGGAACAGGAACAAAACCCATCCCCTAGAACAGTCCTTCAAATAACTGTGTTCAAAGAAGTGATGGCAGATACCTGTGTTTTACTCTTGTATTTATCATTAAATGCTTCTAAGAGGTAAATCTCAAACATATGCAAAGGAATTAATTGAACTGATAAATTTCCAATGAGTGGAATTTATGTTGGTTCTGCAATGCAGTGCAGAAAAAGTAGTCTTGACATTCTACTCGCATAATCAGCAAATAAGCCAGAAAGAACAAAGCAAAAAATAAAAGGACAGGGCAAAAGAAAAGAAATACACAGATTTAGGGGCAGCAATATTAAGATTGGGATGACTCAAGCAGTGGAAGGAAAATGAGGAATATTGGGCCACAGACTCCAGCCTTTTCTGCTTGTGCTGTTGATGTGGTGTGAGGACAAAGCATTTCGGCCACTGTCTGGAAAATGAGAAATCCACTGCCAGAGGCAGCAGTAGGGTGCAGGGATAATGTGGTGGATGACTATGGCCCAATCTCCTAATTACCTACCAGCAGGGGGATTTTACAGTTTGCCATCACTGCAGAAATAGTACAAGCTCCAATTGGGTTATTTTAGTTAACTACTGTCCACACTCACCATAGTCTAAACTGACTCTCAGCACACACTGGGCTTTCAGCTAGTGAAAAAAAAAGGACTAATAATTACTTCTATCAAACTTGAAACCTCCTGAAGCTGAGAGCTAAACACAGCTTTCAATAGCATGGAGCTGATAAGTCACAGCAACACTCTAGGCAGCAGGGAAGAGATTCATTTTACCCCAGGGGAGAACTGCAGGGCAAGAGTTTGGAATTGGCTGTGCTGTGATCAAAGTAGCAATGGGACATTTCAGTTTGAGCCCTTCTTGAGCCCTCAACAGCCTTGCCAGAGCTGTACAAGTCAGGAGCAAAACAGGGTGAGGCCATAAGTCTCCAGGAGGGATCCTATACCTTTGTGATAAACAGGAGGTATCAGAGTTGGTGATTTAGTTTAGCACTTGCCCAAAATCTATCAATTCTGGGATAAAATTTCCCATCAGCTTGTATGACCACAACCACAGGCTAATGCAGCACCAGAAAACAGTCACTAACTTGGACAAGACTTCACACCACAGCTCCTTGTTCACCCCTAGTCCAGATAGAGATTACCCAGTTCATCCCTCACTCAAAACATGCCTTGTAGGCTGACAACAGACCTTAGAGGAGCAATGCTGCTCCTTCACCAGGACACCAGATAGACAAGAGGTAGAAGGACCAAACATATAAGGAAAGAATACATTGATACATTGCCTTTCTTTTTAAAGGAGAATGGCTGTTTCTGACATTTGGCCAATCAGCATTTGTTTCAAAGGCATCAACAATTTGGCTGACAGAGATCCAAGCACTGAAGACCAAAGTAGTACCTCGCTTTTAATAATGGGCACACAGAAGAAAGTGCATTTTGTAAGGAACAAAAGCACCACAAAACCTTCCTACTTACCTTGGTTGTTAAACTACCCAAACAAGGATAGGAACTTAAGGGTTTTGGGGGAATTAGTGGTACCAACATTATCCACATTTTAACAGGAGCATTCACAAGTACTGCCCATTCCCAGACCATTATCTATTTAATTTTACCATACACAGTTCCCAAAATAGTTAACAACAAGAATAAGAAGAAACAGTGGTTTCCATTAGGACCTGTTCCCCCGGGACCAGGAGCAAGAGAAGTGGGTGGGTCCGTGTGGGGAAGACAGAGGCCATGAAAGGATTCCTCCAACCCTTAACTGCTTGCAGCTGCTATCTGTGCCACAGCCATAAACAAGCCAGCCTTTGTCTGAGGCTGGCCTTCTGTGCTTTGCTCGAAAAGGCAAATATCACTCTGTCTAGACCTCCTTACAAAAGCACTTTCAAATGCTTGCTGCAGAAATATTAACACTTCCCCAAATAAGAAAACAAGACTTTTACCATTTGCATATGGGAACAAAGAAGTGGTTTTACAATTAAAAAAACACTAGAATTGGGATAATTGACAGAACAGAGTAAGCTCCTATTTACACACTACACATTTTTTGCAAATAAATTTATTTCTTTGTCATAAAGGCCATGAAATGAAGAAAATCTGTCTTTTTAGCACAAAAAATAAATTATACTTTTCTTCTCTTTGCTAATAGGAAGTTTTCAAACACTGCCTGAAGTCTATAGAGAGCAACTCCATTACCAGGGAAAATGCAAGAAAAAAACAGTACTTGTGATGCTGTTTCTCAAGAACATCATGGGCAATGTCTTTGGTGACTTAGGATCTCCATGGTCAGTCATTCCCCATCCATTTGCTCATTTCCCACACAGGAGGACACACAGCCTTCAGGCTTCTGTACCATGAATGGCCCCAATTTCTCCACATGGCAACATGAACTATATATATATATATATATGTTTCTGTATTTATACAACTTTTTCACTCATTTGCACATCAGCACCAAGAATAGTTGTCTTACCTGTAAAACTCACTGAACCACACTGAAAAATAAAACTCACAAAGAATACCCAAAACTAGATGAATGAAAGGCATTACCTGCTGAAGGCACTGAGGCTGGAGCCAACCACTTGCTGATATCAAATGTAAGTTTTTTTGCACAGGGGAGAATAAAGCTGAAAGAGAGAACACAAAAAAACTCACTCTAAGTCAGTCACCTTCATGTCTGGTCTTTCATGGGGTTTTCTAGCCAGTCTCACACTTCAGAGCTACTCAAAGCAAAGGGAACACAAAGGTTTTTATTCCAGTCACCAGTGATTAGTAGGAGCAGAAAGCACAAGCAGCAAGAGGTTGGCTACTCCTCATTTGAAACATCCTCCTGGGCACAAGGGAGATTTTGAAGAGTCAGCTCAGCTCTCTGTAATGCTTTTTAGTTTTTAAGGATAGTGGGGCATAATTAGAATGGAGCAATATAGTCGACATCTAAAAACCCCACTGCAGACACAGACGCAGCAGATTCTTCCAATAAAAGATTACTTTTTCAGGAAAAAAAATAGCACAATATAACAAATCTTTACACTTTTGAGCTTGGAGAAAGTTTCATGCAAAGTTAGGTCAAGCAATAGAAAACCAAGGAAAAGGGATAACACAGCATAACCCAGGAATACCTTTTCCAAGCCAGCACCCACGACAAACTTAGCACCTGCAAGAAGCATACGTAGGCGAGACTCCTCCTTTTAAAGCACCACTCATAGAGCTTCTGCTCCATTCAAAGGGTTCAAACTGCAATCACGTGCTGCATATCGTGGAATCCACCTGGAGTCTTCCCCCCCGTCCAATTCATATGCCGGTAATGAGTTGCTAATGAGCTAACGAGCATCAGCTTTCTCCTGCAGCTGGTCACCAACACCTGAGGTTATTTTATTTCTCCCTTCCTTTTCAAACAACTGAAAAGACCCAGTAAATTCAAACCTTAATTTGGTTCAAATTTTATTCAGTACATGCTAAAATTAAGTATTTCAGAAGAAAGGATTTAGTCCCTCTTGCACTGCACTCCCTTTGGCTGCACTCTCTAAGCCCCCTGCCATGCAAAGAGCCCTTCCTCACTACTGTTTGTCCACCTAAATTATCTATGTGGGCTTGAGAAAAATCAACATTTTCCATGAAAACTCTGATTTGACCAGAAATTTCCAACCAATTTTCCTTTACCCTGAAAATATTAGAGGCAAACAACCGTAACAAGGAAGGGCTTTCAGCTTCAAATCACGCTCCTCATCCAATTCAACAATTATGTTTACCAAGCCATCCTATTTATTTTTAATTCTATTTATCCATTTATTTCTCATCCCACCCTTTAGAACTATCAGTGTTCCTCTTATTACTATTTACAGTCCATTTGATTTTAATTATCACTTATTTACAGGAAGGGCGTGGCCAAATTAAATTGTAATTTGTGAACTGACAACCCTCATTTACAAAGCAAAGCAGCTGTACAGACAGCTTTTTCACTATCCCCCCACTAGGAAAACCTGGAAAAGAGAAATCCAACAAATCCAAATGTATGACAAAGAGTTTTATTAGTTCTCCTGCACGCTTGGAACCATCACCCTTTAAGCAGCATGTCCTCACTCTCAGGGAGGTGAAGGGCAAAATTGCTTGTGTTTCAGTGGAGCAGAGGTTGATCACACAGAAGGGAAGGGAACCACAGATGATGTTTCCAGGTTATTGGTCCAGGAACATCCCACATCATTTGCTACACAGATGTGTCCAGATGTGGGGGTGGCAGCCTCCTGCTCCAAGGCAGGCACATTTTACAGGGAGGCAGCACCCAGGCAGGGCAGGGGATGGCAGCAGATCCTCTGAGCTCGGGAACTCCAAGGACCACTCTCTCCTCCATCAGCAGCTATATCATCTTTTTTCAGGTAAAGCCTAAGTAGCTGCAAACTTACCAGGGTCAATAGATCATGGAAGCTATAGAGAGGGATTTTGGTAATTACTCTGCAGACAAAAATAAAGCTCTACCAAAATGTGATCTAAGAATGGCCAAAGGAAGGTCGCACACAGGGCCCATCCTGTGCCTGCACGAGGAAAAGTGCTTTGGGAGAAAAACGTCTCCTGCAGTGATGATTGTTGCCAGAAGAACGTAGGAAACGCTCACCAGAGGGAGGGCTGAGGCCAGTGACTGATCTGGTGCAAGGCAAAATGACAGCTTCACAGTCACAGACCATGTGGGCTGCAAAGGAGCTTTAAGATCATCAAGTCCCATAGCTGACCGGGCATGGCCTCGCCCACCACTTCACCATCAATTCAGTTGTGCTGATTTGCAGAAGTTGGTGCTTTGTGTCTAATGAAGTTGCACAGACAAGTTTTGTCCATCACCATTTTTCCTCACAAAGACCTTAGTGTGTGTCCTCATCCCCCTGTCCCCCTCAGCTTGGTTGGAGGGTATATGATTTTAGTAACACTCCCCACCACCCCAGGGAAGAGAGGTGAAGTTTATCTTGGAAACAGGCATTTCCTCTCAATTATAATCAAAACATCAGAGGCTCTGGTCAGACAAAGAGACACTCTGGAACCCAATTTGTCACATTTCTCACAGACATCCTTGCCCATAAAACCCAGAATGAAATGCCTATCAAAAAAGTTACCATTTCTTGCTATTTTAATGGGTCTTTCAACATTTGGTTGCTTTCCTAAACAGCCCAGCTTCTGCATAACATGGTAAAATACTGGCCCTGTTGTTAAATTCCTGTTCCTGTTGTTAAGATACATAATAAAGTTTGAGTCTAATCTGATGTCTTTAAAGACATCCAGGATTTCCTGAGCCAGCAATGTCACAAGAGTAGTATCAGACTCACAGGTCGATATGGATCAGAGGGGACTTCTGGGAATCATCTGGTGCAACATGCCTTCTCTTCAGAGGGGCTGCTCTGATCAGACACTTCAAGGCCTTGCCTAGGGAAGGTTTAATATCTCTAAAGCCACTTCAGCTATTTCAGGAAGCACAAAGACATCTCAGAGTTAATTCAGGGAGGCAGCAGAGTTAATGGAAAAGTATAAGGAAACGGATTGAATTGTATATAAGAAGTATATTTTTTCCTATCAACTCTCTCCAGAATAATGACCATGAAATTGTTTCCGGAGGGTTTATGGATTCATCGAGTTCCTGTGGCACATCACCTCTGGATCTCCATACTGCTATAATCCAAGATTCTCCAAAGACCTGCTGTGCTGTCAACACCTTTAATTTTACCGTTAATCTCAATTTATTTGGCATTTTCTTAACAGCTCAGCTCCTAAAGACATAGAGCTGTAGAACAATGTTGACTTTCATGGCAAAAAAATCCCTGCTAGATTGTAGAGGAAAGCAGAACAGAGAACCTTAGAAATTCAAAGGCCACAAGTCAAAAGCTCCCCCAATTAATTTCACTGGTTCAACACGCAGTGAAAGCTGATTTGCTACCGAGCCACATCGGATATGTGGAGTCTCAATCATCTCCCCATTAGTGGAGCTTTCATAACATCTCTCCTGGGCACATTCAGCCCTACTCATGCCTGAGCTCACACTTCAATCCTTCCTTTCAGTCACAAGATCTCTCTCTCTCTCCTACTCAGCAATTTATTGCCGACACTTACAGCGACAAAATTATCTTTGACATTTCTGCCCTTCTGGTGAAGTTGGTTGACATCAGTCAGCGGGTTCAGAAGGGAGGGGAGAGGAGGGTGATCCTGTAAGGAAACAAAGCGTAGGCAGCACAGCTAAAACCACCTCACAGTTTGTAATCCAACCTGGTTTTTTCTAGGGATGTGACTCCCTCTTCACAGGCCTGTGCTTGCAACGTGGAAAGACTCAAAGCAAGGCTGAAGCTGAGAGCAGAATTTATCACAAGGAGGCTCAAATGTGAAATGTGTTATGTTTCAGCATTATTGTATAGGTGTCTAGACAGATAATGTAATGTTTTATCCTAGGGACTGAAAGGATGGAAAACATCGACCACTGATTTAATACATTAAATACAGGCACGGTCTAAAAGCAGATCACCCTATGTATTACCAAATTAAAAAATAAATATGGCAATGATTTATATACTGGTTTCCTGTTGCTCAAGAGACACTTGTGACAAGATTTCCAAGGAAGCAGTGTTTCACAAGCAGCCATCTAATTCTAGCTGGTGTGTCATGTTTTAAACAATACTTGTTTCAGTGTTGGGCTCACCACCCATTTGTCTCAACAAAGTTCCCTGCAAATCTTTCCCCCTTTTTGTCTCTGCTACCAATTCTGCCCTTCGTGTCTGAATGATGTTTCTCTACAAAGAATGAGAAAACCAGTCTTTTCTCTGATCACTTTACTCTCTTTCTAATAAAACCCTACTTGCTTCTATTAATCACTAGCTATCTAATTAAGCACTGTCTTCAATGTCCTGTGGTTGGAAAGCAAGATATTATTGCCTGTTTTTATTCCCTTCCTCTGTGGAAAGTATTTAACTTTTGTCCTTATCTTGACCCCACCTTTTGCAATTATTTTTGCAATGTAAAATACAGATTCCCAAATCCTTGTTCTCAGAAACTTGTAAGGGTCCCAAATCCATGAACAGAACAATCTCTTGCTGCAAGAAATGGAGTAAATATCCCCCATTTTCAGACACATTGACTGGCTTTATACCTCTAACCATTTATCCAGCATTTAATATAATTAAGAATCACTCCCTGGATTTTGAAGATCTCCCTCATCCTACTGCTCTGATCTCATCTTATCTTGGTCCACCAGAGACTCATCTTATTACTTTCATTTGTCTTTCTGCTCTGCCTAATTCACCCCAGTGGAGGATTGTTGTTTCATTTGTGTGGGTCCATCTCTTCGGGATTCTTTCTCCTGTTATTGAATCACTTCCTCTACAATAAACTCTATTTTTAAATTAGGCTGTGTAAGAACTGATGGTAAAGCATTTTACAACATTGTCTTTAAAAGACCCAGAGGGGAAAAACTGTTGTATGACAGTGTTTCTGAGTGCAAGTTGCTTGTCAGCAAGGGCTCCATTTAGAAATCATGTTAACGAAACCACCCAACTTCATAAAGTCAGTTTTTGAGGCACTGAGTAGATCTCTGGTGGTCAAGAGCAGCTGAATGTATTCCAGCCCTAGAATACTGAGTAGGCTGTTTAAATGGCCTCTGAACTGCTAAATTACGTGGCATTGTTTTTACTGAATGATTAAAACACTCCAACACCCACAAAGAACTTCCAAAACAGCTGAGCAAATGCTTTCAGAGGGTGTCACACTTTTTCCTTTCCATATTTGAGACATGCTGTTTTCCATGAATATACTGTTGTAAATAAAAATGGTCGGGGAGACATTTGCGGAAAACAAAGGGAAGGGGTCACACAGCCCATCAAAGCAAAATCAGCCTGTTTTAAGCTGGAGAAATGGCTCCCAGTTTCTCTTACAAAATAAATACAGATTGATCTGTCTTTATGTTGGCGAGCACAACCCATGTTCGCTGTACCGTCTGCTGAGCAGGGTGAAGAGCAACGAGCCATCACCTAGAGAAGGGGGTGTACAGAGAAAAGAATAACACTAGAATAGAAAGGCCAGAAACCATTCTGAAAACAAAGCACACCATTAGAGGAGAAAAAATTTCTATTAAACATACATTCTGTACTGTCTGAGACAGCAACATCCCCTCTTATCTTAACTTAGCACCACGAGGCCTAAAATGATGAGTGAGAACGTTAATGCAGATGTTTTGTAAAACAAACTGAGACACTCCCTGCCTTGAAGCATTCAGTGTGGAAGGCAACAGGCAAAGAAAATCCAGGCCCTAAAGAATTGTAGCAGAGGGAACATGAACAGCACTGATTTCCCTGACACCAGGTAAATGTTCGGTGCAACAACTCCCTAGTCTATTATTTTCCCACAGGAAGAGTGGATCTCTGTCATTTAATAAAGTGGTTTTAATTTAAAACTAATCTTAATTCAAAATCTGAAGTGCTGTTTTGTAAAGCCTTCAGTCCAGCCTCCCATCAGTGATGCCTTTGTATCGATAAGGACAGTAAGAAAGGCAGCAGGGAAGAAGTGAGGAGAGGCCATCCCAAGGTACGGGAGTGGCCTGACAAAGCTGCATTCCTGGGGCCACAAGTAATAAGGTCTTCCAAAATGAGCAGGTCCATGGATCAGGACAAGATTCCCAGCTGGGATATCCTACAATGGGAATCAGTATCACACCTTGGTCATGCCACAACACAGTCACAGTTCTCAGCTGTCTTTCATCACCATTTACAACCTGACAACGGGGCAGAGCTTTCCATACCTGCATGTTGCTGGAAACACTTGATATTCCTGCAGCACTGGAAACGGGGTTGTGGAAGAGAGAGAGGACATTTTGGAAAAAAGTCTTTTGGTCTTCATCAACTCCAACTGGTGCCCACCAGAACAGATCTGTGAAAGGGAACTGGCATCAGCTGAATATCTGGACACTGAACATCTGACTTTGCAGAAATAGAAATTACAGGAATTTTGATACTCACATGGCAAGCAGGAAAATAACCCCTCTTTGTACCTACATGCAGCAACAATGCCCCCCTCTAACAACCAGGGCCAGCACTGAACTGTGTCAACATATGACTCAGAAGAGGAGGAGGAGAAGATGGAAAAATAGGCCAAAGAAAGGCAGGACTGCTGGAAGAAAAGCAAACAAAAAGCAGCAGTCAAAGCAGCTGTTCTGAGGGCAGAGTGGGCAACTCGGAAATACGTGGGATTACAGGGAAACTCACCTTTCATAGTTCCTGATGCTCACAACAAGCCCTGCTCACATTCTCTGATGGGGCAGGGGAATGAAAAACATACTTTGGGATAATTAAGCAAACATGGGGTGATTAAGAAGGTAAAGTTGCTCTCCCTTCGATCCAAACCACCATTCCCACCACCCCAGCTCAGAGCACATTCCATCCTTATTTTTTGAGTCAGCCCACTCCTGAAGTGCCAGCTGCTTCCCTAAGCAGGGAATACAGCAGGTTCTGCGAGTGGGACAGAAGTCCAACCACGCAGGAAATGCATCAGGAGCCGATGAACCCCACACAGGTAGGGGTTTCAAGGGAAGCAGCTCCATCCCACACATTACCACTCTTCATTAATAGAGCAGGGCAAAAGATGCTGGAGAGGCTCATGTTTCTGCCACTCTAAAGATACTGAAAAAATACGGTTGTTCTTATTTGATGGCCTCCCCAAGACTGTAACACAGAAGCAGCATTTAAGAGATTCAGGGACATACCTGTGCAGAAAAGTGAAGTGAGCCCTAACTCATCAGAATTTCTTGTGTGTCTCTGAGGTTTAGCACGGAGCTGTGTTTGAGGTAATAAACCAGCAATCTGACTTTCTCATCAGAGCAGACTTGCATCCAAGGCATGTCAAAAGCCCTGCATTTTCAGCATTTATTTTCATTCCAAATTAAACAGGAATATTCCTTTTCAAGATTCTGATCAAAACAGAAGCAATCTGATTTTCATACCAGGTTTTTAAAGAAAATTTTCTTTAAATTTTGAAATTACCAAAATTTTTCTGCAATTTTGGGGGATTTGATATTATTAAAATGCTGGATCTGATTATGAATCTTGTAGACATTTTGCTTACAGTTCCAGAGTTCTGACTTTGGGGATACAGTACCTTCCAACAGAACAATGTTCTATGAGGGCATTTGAGTCCCACAGGTTCGCACCCAGGAGTACACTCAACACCCAGGTGCGCTTGGGTCATGTATGAATTAGAAGTAATAGCTGTTAAATTAAACAAAAAACAAAGGTACGGATTCCTAAGGGGCATCCAAGACATTGCCCAGCCCTTTTGATGCCACCTAATGGCAAGGCTACAGGATAAAGTCCACTGAGGAGGTAGGAAATGTCAGTGGAAGGAGATCCTCGTGCTTCTCACAGGAGGCATCGCTCTGCATCATTGACTGTATCTCGTCGTTAAAAACCCCGTCGCACTTGTCACGAGCGTAGGAGTGAAAGCCCACAGCCCTGGCTCAGTGTCAACTGGGGTTTCGCCACAATTTCACTTGTGGTTTCAACCAGAAAAAGTTGCTGTTCCCCTCTTGTTCCTGTAAATGCTGCTATGCATTCCTCCTGATCGTGGCTACTTTCTCCTGAGTAGTTATTTCCCTTGACTAAGTGTTTCCACTGAATAATTATTCTTAGTGAATAAGTAAAAGCATTTCAGGATCTTACAGGATGGAGCTGTGGAGCACATCTCCCATCCCAACTGCGGAACAGCTGGAATAGCTGTACCCTTGGCCTCTCCCCTGACCCTTTCATCTCCAGGCTCTTTCAGAGCTGCCTGTGGTAAGAACAAAGCTCTGTAAAAGACACTTATGAATATTGAGGTCCTCAACACAAGCCTTTCTGAGGGTTTCCACCCACACTGTGTCAGGGAGGGTGGCTCCTCTGGAATCAATTAGATTACTCCCAACTGCACCAGCTAAAGATCTACTTGGGTTATTCTCATTCCCCTCTCTCCCCCCAGCTCTGCAGCAAGAGGAGTTTCATGCCTCCACAAACACCCTTGATCAGGCCCTCTGTGAGGTACATCTTGCACTGCTTTGCCCTGCTTTGTCCACACAACATGCTGGCTGTTGTAATGTCAAGGTATTTGCATTACCAGGAAAGTCTTGGGTGTGAAAGGAAATTTTAATTTCCTCCTCAGTTGAGCACTTTACAATATGTGTTTTAATAAAACAGAGAGAGTCAAATTATTGCTTGTAAATGCCAATGCGCAAGAGGATTAATTAGGGCAGCAGCAGTCTGGCTGTGCAGCCTCTCTTGAGGGGTTTCACATGCTCAAGACAGCCAGAGCATGGAATCCCTGAACAAATGTCTCCTAAAATTGCAAGCTTATACATTCAATCTCTATGCAAAAAAATTGCTGCTTTTGAAATCAGACTCATGATGCACCAAGGGCCAAGTTTATCTCTGTTCCGACAGTATCATCCATCAGCCCTGAAGTCACTGGCAATCCTGATATCAGGGAGGTGTGACTGCCAATGTGTCTGTAACCTGGAGGAGATTACACAATATATTTTATAGCTCCCAGAGGGAATAAATCTTGAGGGGTATTAGGCAAGATGGCATAATAGTCCTGCTAATCTGCTCCTCCAGAGATTGGGTTTAAGCCAGCACCTAATGGTTTAGTAAAAAAAAAACCAACAGAAATGTAGAGGACAATCATCTGCTGTAAGCTTAGATCCAATAAATACCCTGGGTGTTTAATTGTGCATCGTTTTACACTCTGTAATCCCTCCACTGACACCTCTGTGCAGCTCAAAGGGCTGCCAGTCAGCTTAAGCTTTGGCAAATCCTTCAGCCAACTGGAGGAGTGAGACGGATGTCCTCTGTCTCTCAGAGCTCAGCATAAACTCTGGCACATCCACCAGGATTGAAAGTCAGGACACAAAATCGGGAGGAAGTGTGGGGTGACAGGACAGGCAGGATGAGTGTGGCTCCAGGAGGGAAGAGCAGTGAGCAGGATCTCGTGCTCGCAGGCGGCTGGGGCGGGTCAGAGGATGGAGGATGCATCCCTGGAGGCAGTTTCCATGAAGATGCTGTGGCATTTCTAGAGGCTGAACGTGCTCATCAGAAAAAGCACCACCATATGGGAATACAAAGTGAAGGGAAAAAACACTCCTGACTCATGCAAGTGAGAAAACAATTCCCACCCCTACCTGCCTGCTGGCAATGGATTTCTGGGAGTCTGCTATTCCAGGCTGGGCCAGCAACATGAGCCTGTGAAGCTCTCCCAGTATGATTCAGCCCAGTTTGTTTTCAAAAGCCCCACATACACAAACACGTGTACAGGAGACACGTAAACTGCAGTGCTGGGAGCCAAGTTGCTGGGTTTGTGCAGTTCAGCCAGAAAGAAAGGAATTCTTGTTGAGACTTGCTCTGTCTGTTACTCTGCATGTAAACTTCCCATATTTCTTGGGATGCTACGTCCACAGCAAGTAATCAGAATGCATGGGAAAAAAAGAGAGACATTTGCACATAATCCAGTCTCCATCCTCCTTTGCTGCTGCACATTATTAGCACATTGAACGCAACTGCTGGCGCTGACTTATAAAGACTATCAATAAATCACTTCTTTGATCTCTTTCAAAAATCAAAAGAAAGAAGAGATAAGGTAGGATAAGGATTGCATTAAATATGATAATGTTTAGAATTTTTTCAGTCCTGAATTTTTTTTTTCAGGGGCTGACGCTAAGCTAAAAATTCAAATTATTCCAATTAAAATATGGTTCCTTGGTACAGGAAATAGAACATAACTAGGGCATTTGTGTGTGGCCAAAAGTCACTAAAACTTAAAAAAATTCAGTGAGAGTGTCAGAATCCAAAATGACCTTGACATCACATCTGAAATCAATAACTTGCCATCTGATAGAGACAAGTGGAGATTGCTCAGTGATAAAGGGAGCTTATGTGGTTCACCAGCAGAACTCAGGCAAAGAATTAAGGGATAAGAAAAACCTCAGACTATAAAAAAATCAGTGAGATGCTGGTGCCAAAAATTATAATTCTCATTTTGGGCTGTAGGAAGGGAGAAAAACAGTGGAATAATATAGGCAAGACTCAGAGGATGATTCCCATCCTCTGCCTGATCAGCTGTGATGCCAATCCTGTTATTCTGAAGCCTTTCAACACGTTGTCTAGGGACAAATTGTAAAGAGTCTAGGAGGGAGCCATAGGAAAGCTGTAAAAGGTGGTCAGACATGAAGGGAGCCTTCTTCAGGGAAAGGAGGAAAGGAAAAGAAAGAAGGAAAGGAAAAGAAAGAAGGAAAGGGAAAGAAAGAAAGGGAAAGAAAGAAAGAAAGAAAGAAGGAAAGAAAGAAAGAAGAAAGAAAGAAAAAGAAAGAAAGGGAGAAAGGGAGGAAGGAAGGGAGAGAGAGAGAAAAAGGGAGAGAGAGAGAGAAAGGGAGGAAGAAACAGAGAAAAAGGGAGGAAGGGAGGAAGGATGGAAGTCAGTCAAGATTAGTCACTCTCGGAGGCTGCTGGGGAACATCAACAAGGAGAAAAATTTAGCACGGTTTTTAGCTCTGGTGGTTTAGGAAAACCTTTCTGCAATAGGAAAGTGCAGCCCTGAGAAGGGTTATTGAAGCAATCTCCTTCACAGGAGGGGCCCAAGCCAAGGTCAGGCCAATGCCTTCTGGAACACTCTACACCTCTGGCGTATCCAAGCCCAGGATTGGAGCAGGTGATTTTTGGAGTCCTGTACCCTTACTTTGCAATGAGTACAAGCACCTGCAGTAACCAAGTCTACATCCAATTCCTCTCTGCAGGCAAGATGATTAATAGCTGAAGTCTTGAAGTCCTTAGAGCTGCTGGAGTTCTGCCACGGATTTGAAAGTTGCCTAGATGTCAAACATCCCAACAAGTTCACTGGGAAGGTGATTGTCA